GAAAAAAAAAAAAAAAAAGAACCAAACGCACTGCCCACAGGTCGGATCCTACTCATAGCGACTCCTCCTTGGGTTTCTGAGGTGGTATCACTACAGAACTAGATTGCTCAACCTTCCTTCCAAGAAGTGGCTGGTGGGTCGGAACTGCCAGCCTTCTTTCTGGTTAGCCGTCAAATGCCTTAGGCACTGTGCCACCAGAGCTCCCCATCTGTAAATTAGGGCTATCTTATATATCTTAGCTAGGCTTTATGTGGAAAGTGAAATATAAAAGTACTTTGAAAATTATAGTGAAAAGTGACATCATTAGCATTAATCTTCATTATTACCTCAGTGCTTATGCATTCCCGGCCCTTGAATCCTGTACTCTTGAAATTGTCTATTGGTTTATAGAATAACTATTCCATAAACTATCACAGTAATCTTATAAATACCAATATATAGTCATGTGTCACTTAACACCCATAATACAAAGTAGAATATTATATAATTTGGATGTTGTTTGAACACCATATTGTAGTCTGGTCCTGCTTTTTCTTTAAGCATCTCGAACAATCTTCTTGCCTTGGTGATTACCAGCATACTGAGAGGGATTTGCTTTTGTGTTTGGTCCTCAATCCATGTCATTACCAATTTCTACGTAGCTGATATGGTCCCTTTCACATTTTCGTTAGCCTTCTAACTTTCAGTGGAGCCAGTCCTTTAACAGCTTGAAGATATTTTTCTTTATTTTTGAGGATCATCGTGATTGTCAAGTACAATAAGCCTAAATTGAGAGCAGTAGCATTTGCTAATTTTCCACTGTCCTGTTTAATAACCTTTTGTTTTACTTCCAAATCAATAACTTTTCCTTTGCCTCTTGCTGCTGCTATCACTAACACTGGTTTTGCTGTGTTTGGGAGCCATGATACACTTCATAGTAATATTTTTGAAAGAAAATTAAACAAGTTACACTACAACACTTGTGATGTATGATAAAGAAGATCGGATGCTGCTGCTTATGAGTCACAGAGTACCCTGTTACGATAAACCTTTTAGATAGAATGTACAGTATAGTACATAATAAGCCAGTAACTTAGGCATTTATTATAACTATCAAGACATGTATTACAGATTATATATGTACTATACAACTATAAGCTTGGCAGCACAGTTACTTTATATACAAGATACATGAAACACATGCAGTGTATGTAAGAAGCTATTGCATTCACTATGTCCTATTTTCTGATCAGGATCTGAACTCTGTTGAACAATCTTATGGGGCTGAGGATATATATATATGGGGTCAGACATTGTGCAAACGGACATGTGACTGTACGTGCATAAATATCTTTGAGAACAAAATGAGCAAATCTTATTTCTTATTTATGGCCAGGTTTCACATGTCCTAGATACTAAATGAAAACACTCATTCACAAATTAATAGATCCATTAGGGTGAATCCTATCAAGGATTAGCTTAAGGTAAGAAGGGAAGCTCTAATTTTTTCCTGTTTCCTTCAGCTGTCTTTCTTTTCCTCTGTATTGCCTAGTCAGTTCATTCTATCTTTTTCTTCTTAGGTAAAGGAAAAGGTGAAAAAGCTCCATTTTGACACTGCTTTTTATGTATATGCTTTTATAAAAGAAACAACAGTTAAGGTGGTTGTTTGTAGTAAGCCCTGCTATTGTCAGTATGTTGTAGATTCTTTGCCCTCATATTGTTCTCTACTTGTACCTATCATGCTAGTTGTAGTGCATGTGCTGCTAAAGTGATCTCTTCCCATATACAGGTAAAATTAGGTATGTTTTAAATGAGAGAGACGAAAGGTATTAAAATTGTAAACAGTAGAGGTTTAGCATCTTGTGGTGAACTTGAGCTACTCATTTGGTTTAGTTGGAATGATTTTGGAAAGGAAACTGCTAATAAACAAGATAAAAATCTTTAATGAGTAATAAGATATTTACATTGTTGAATATTTTCTTTTCAGGGGATCTCAGTCCTGCTGAGCTGATGATGCTGACGATAGGAGATGTTATAAAACAACTGATTGAAGCCCATGAACAGGGGAGAGACATTGATCTCAATAAGTAAGTGGATTGATTAAAAAGAGGGCAGTCTTGTTCTTAGTTCTCTTTTGAAATTATCTAACACTACTTGTTTTTTCTCTCGTATTTTATTTTATAGTTGAGAATATATGTTTTTTTCCCTGTCCTGTTTTTCGATGGCAAAATAGCCTCATATCCTAATAGCACTAATAGCTTCTAATGTCTGTTGGTGCTTACTGTATTCCATGTACTGTTCTTTTCAGATATCCTCTGAACTTAACTGTGTTGCCCTTCACCCAGGCTTGAAACTGTAGTATCATCTTTGGGTCTTCTTTTTCATACGTCCAAGTAGGGCCAAAATTTTTGTGATTCTTATTTCACTGTTTCTGACTTCTGTTTCCACTACCAACTCATTCCTTTTTAAACTTACATCTGGACTATTTCACTAGTTTTCACTTATTGTCTCTATTCATCTCTTTGCTGCAATTAATTTTCTTTTGCCTCAGGTTTTATCATGACTCTTCTCTGTGCAGAAACTTTCAGTATGTACCCATTGTTTCTAGAGTTAAATGCAGATTCCTTAGCCTGTTATATAAAGCCTTTCAGTATGACTTTGACCTACTTTTCCAACTTTTTAAGTGTCTGTACCTTTACTTTGAAAATCTGCTTTCTTTCAAGTTGGGCTGACCTGTATTTCTTAAAATATATGAATTCCTCTTTTTGCATCTTCACACAACCTGGTCTGTCTGCCTTAGTGTCTTCTCCATCTTTCTGAGGCATATTCTTTCTCTGCCTTTTTTCTATGAATAGCTTCCCAGTGAATACTGATTTCTTTCTTGAAATCTGGGAGTATGGGTGTGTGTGTGTGTGTGTGTGTTTTATCATATGTTTTTATCACTTACACATTCATTTTTGCATGCCTGTCCACTAACTAAAACATTGAAGGACTATGTTGTATACCTTCTGATATACCAAATACTTCTTGTTATTGTTATGTGCCCTTGAGTCGGACCTGACTCATAGTCCTTTGGTTTCCCAGGCAGTATCACTACGGAAGTAGATTGCCCCATCTTCTTTCCCAGGAGTGGCTGGTGGGTTTGAACCTTTAGCCTTTTGATTAGCAGTCAAGTGCCTTAGGCACTACACTACCAGAGCTCCAAATACTTAGGAAGCCACTTTTACACGTTAGGCACTTGTGGGGTTTACATTAACTTTACCCAAAGAACTTATTCTTTATCCCTGGTTCTTGAGAGAGAACTCTAAACCCTTGGAATTTCCTGAGTAATTGAGTTGCCTTTGTTATCTATAGCTGAGAATTTATGCTAATCAGGTGACTTTGGGGTGGGGGTGGGGGTGTCAGCCAGGCCAGAAAGACTACCTAATGATACCAGCTTACTTCAGGGGAAGTGGGCTAATTCAGTCAATCACAACTATGTAATGAGTCCCCAATAAAGGCTCTGGATGTAGAAGCTCCACGGGTTTCCTGGTTGGTGGAAGACATTGATGCATGTGGGAGGGTACTGTGTCACTTTTGGGAAATGGAAGCTCTGCTTTGGGAACCCTCTTAGACCTTGCCTTGTGTGTTAATTCATTTGTATCTTTGTTCCTGTAATAACACTTTCTATAAGTTCTGTGAGTTGTTCTAGTGAATTTGGAATCGGAGTAGTGGAAGCCAGCAGGTCAGAAGTAACGGGAACCGTAGGAATTCCCAAGCTTGCAGCTGGCATCTAAGATCTTGGGCAGGTTTGGCAGTCTGGAGGACTGTGTCCTTAAACTTGTGAGGTCTGACCTAGGTTAGGCTCAGAGTAGGAAATGCTGCATGTATAGCTGGTGTCAGAACAGAAATGGCAGAGAAGTAGGGATTTTCCACACACTACTCAGTTAAGGTTTGTTGAAAAGCATAAGAGCACCCCACCAGTATTTCTAGGTAGATTAAATAAGAAGACAGAGTGTCTAAGGGTTTGGCTAGTAGGCACAAAGAAAAGCTTGTAAAATTATTTTTTTAAAAAATTAGGGAATTAGGATAAAGGTTACTTTTAGGACTTAGGGATAGGGATACAATCAAGGGGCATACAAGGGACTTCTGCAGTGTCAGTAATATTCTGTTTCTTGTGTTGGGGTTACATGAATGGTTGCTTTATAATTACTTGTTAAAGTGTATATTTGTGTTTTAGTATATATTCTGTTCTTCACATATGTAATATTTCCTATTATAAAATATTTTTTAAAGCTTTTTTTTTTTTTTTTTTTTTTTTGGGTGAAAGTTTACAGAGCAAATTCACTTTCCATACAGCAGCTCACGTACACTTTGTCTCATAACATTGACTGCTATTTGCCACAATGCAACAGCTCCCTTCCCACTTTCTCCCCATAGTTACCTCTTCCCTGTGTCTGTCCTTCCCTCCATGCACTCCTGCCCTTTGAGGTGTCTCCCTGAACATACATAGCCCTTCTATTCTCCCATGATTGTTCTCTCCAAGTAGTGTGTCTACCTAATGTAAATGTTCAGCTCATATGCCTGTCTTTTGTTTGGCTGGAAGCCACAGGAGTGGGTTCAGTTCCAGACCTGAAGGGCAGCTAGGGGCCATAGTCTCAGTGGTTCCATGAGGCTCTATCAGACCAGCAAACTTGGTCCTTTTTTTTTTTAATGATTTTGAGTTTTGTTCTACATTGTTTTCCCACTCTGTCCAGATCCTCTGAGTGGTTGACAGTGGTAGCCAGGCACCATCTAGTTCTTCTGGTTTCATAGTCATAGAGACTAAAGATAGCATGGTGTACCAGTTGCTTGGACTAATAGTTATAAAAGCTTTATAAAATACATACTTTATTTTCTCTTTGATCCTACAGAGCCTTCCTTGGCTATATTTGTTTAAAACTGTGTTTCTCAACCAAAAGCCAAAACCAAACTCCTGCCGTCAAGTTGATTGCAAGTTTCAGTGACCCTGTACAAGGACAAGGTGTAACACCCCTCCCTCCCCCCTGGCATTTGCCATTGTCTAGGAGAGTTTTCGCTCTAGTGTAAAGGATACTAGTGGATAGAGGCCAAGAAGTTGCTAAACATACAATGTACTTGACAGCTCCCTCAATAATTATCTGGCCCCAGAGGTCAATAGTGCTGAAGTTGAGAAAGGAAAAGTTGAGACTAGACCTCTGGGGCTGGAGAAGTATTTTGAACTAGACCGCTGTAATCCTCTGGTTTTCTTTCTGGTACTCTAAAATGAAAAGCAGGAGTTGTTCATTTATGAATTTTGTTTTTTTTATTTCTCTGATATTTACTGATCTTGAAACTACTATTGTCACCTGGTAAAGAAATAGGGAAATGACAAGAGTTAATAATGCTTTTTTTTTAATGTGGAACAAAACTCAAAATCATAAAAAAGTCCAGGTTTACTGGTCTGATAGAGCTTGGTGAAATCCCAGAGATTATGGCCCCTAGTCACCCTTTGGGCCTGGAATTGAACTCACTGCCATGGCTTCCAGCCAAATAATAGATGGGCGTATAAAGTGACATTTACACCAGGTGGGTACACTCCTTAGAATATGCAACGATGGGAGATCAGAAGGGCAGTATTTGTGCAGGGAGAAAGCTCAGAGGGCAGGAATGCATAGGAAAGAAGGACACAGGGAAAAGGTAACCACAGGGAGGAAGTGGGAAGAGAGCTGTTATATTATAGGGATTGCAATCAATATCATGAAACAAAATGTGTTATGAACTGTTGTGTAGAAGATGAATTTGCTCTATAAACTTTCACCCAAATCACAATAAAAAATAAAAAGAAAACTAAATCAAAAAACAAAAAATAGTGAATAATTTTTTTTAATAGATCATCCTTTGGTAACTTGTCCTTGAAATATTATGATCTCAGTAATGCCTGATGCTTTACTTTCAGGGTGAAAACCAAAACAGCTGCCAAATATGGCCTTTCAGCACAGCCCCGCTTGGTGGATATCATTGCTGCAGTCCCACCTCAGTACCGAAAGGTCTTGGTCCCCAAGTTAAAGGCAAAACCCATCAGGACTGCCAGTGGGGTGAGTGGTTCAATTCCTGAAAGAATTGATTGTATTTATTCTGCCAGAAATCCCTGCCTTCATATAACTATTCTCAGCGTTTTTTTTTTTTTTTTCCTTGACATTTGCCTGTATATCCCTAACAGGCTTTAAGGTTAAGTTTTGAATTTTAGTAATAGGAATTATCTATGGGTTTGTTACTTATGAGGATAAATATTTAGCATTTTTTCTGATACATCTGGCTTCCATGACACCATCCTCTGTGCCGCTTCTAAATCTGATCATTTCTTTCTTTGAGGGCTATTTTTCTGCTTGTCTCTAAAAGGTAGTATTTTCTGTAGTCCTGGGTCCACTGCTTTTATTAAAACTAAAATCAAAACTTATTGCTGTTGAGCTAATTCAACAATGACCTTATAAGATAGAGCTGAACTGCCCCATGGAGTTTCTAAGGCTATAATCATCACAGAAGCAGACTGCCACATTTTTTTCCCACAGAGTGGCTGGTAGGTTCGAATTGCCGATCTTTTTGGTTATCAGCCAGATAGACAACCACTGTACCACCAGGGCTCCTACTATTTTTATTACTTACATATATTCTTTGGTAATCTCATCCATTTGATGTTTTTAAGTATTGCCATATGCTAACTCCCATCTGTGACCCCTTCCCAAGCTTCAGGCTCATATCAAATTGCCTGTTAGACATTTTTACTTTTACTGCCTATAGAAACTCAATTTTAACATAATCAAAACTAATATAACATAACCAAAACTAACCTCCGACTGGCTCCTTCATTGTTATTGTCCATCTTAGTTCATGGTGCCAATCAAAAGCAGTAAAGCTTGTGTGTGTGTATGTGTATACACATATATATATGTGTGTATCTATATATACATATATATGTATACACATACACACACATATTTGAGAAGGAGAGAGAAATGTATTTCAGGGACATGGTTCACAGTTGTGGAGGCTGGGAGGTCCCAACATCTGGGTTAAATGTCAAGCTGGAGGCTTTTCCTGACTTATGCAGCTGCAGGGGCTGACACACCCAAGATGGGCAGGCAGTGTAGCAGGCTGCTGGCTTGGGCAGATGGCAAATCCAAGATCAGTAGATAAAATGGCGAATTGTTGACTCACAGGCTGCAATGGCAATAATTCCAAGATCAGCAAGCAACACAGTAGGCCAAAAACACATAAAGCTAGATGCAGGATCCATATCCAACAGAAAGTCTGAGAATTTTCCCAGGATGTCCATGTATATTTTGGAAGCAGGCCACACCCCTGAAGAAACTCCCTTTCAACTGATTGGCTGCTCACAGCATATCCCACCATGGAGGTGGCTGCCTTAACATCAGATTTCATGGGAACAACCATACCACAACCGCTTAAACTGCTCAGAATCATGGTGCAGCCAAATAGACCTACAACCTTAACTATCACATCTGTGTTTTGGCCTTTATCATTTCTTGTTTAGATTATTTAATTCATTTCCCAACTGGTCTATTTTGTTTTAGCTATACCAAATCCATTTTCCACAATGTCACCAGAGTGATCTATCAGAAATACAAATCCAACTGTCAAAACGCAATTAAGAAATAAAGAGCTGATTTTTATTCCCTATCTACCATGCACTCCTACCTACATGCTTTTGTTCATACTGTGCCTCTGGTCACATATTGTTTGTTTTTGAAGTTTTGTTGTCTTTTTGCTTTAAACACCATTGTTGTTATTAGTCGTAATGTTATCATTATTAACAATAATAGCTCCCGTATGTTGATCACTATTACATACCAGTCATTGTGCTAAGTACTTTGGGTATGTTTTCTAATTTAATTCTCAGAATAGTCTTGAGAAGTAGGTAGTATTGTCTTCATTTTATAAAAAGGAAATTACATAGTAAGAGAGAAAGAAAATTCAAACCTAAGTCTCTCTGACTCCAGAGTCATTGCTTTTTCTACTCTATCAATAATTTTTAAACTGTTCTACCAAAGTATAGGGTTCCTGGGAAGTTTTTAGATGGTGTAGTGCCTAAGGCATTTGTTAGCTCCTCAAAAGGCTTTCCTGACTCTCCTGAATTGCTTTCTTTGGCTATTCCTAGTATTTTGTACATGCCTCTCACCTTGTTGTTTTAAGTTGTCTATTTCATGTCTTTCTACCCTGCTAGAAAGTAAGCTTTCAGATGGCAAAGGCAAGGAATTACTTTGTAGTCTCAGGGCCTACCTGGTATCGTACAGCACACTGGCCTGTAGTAAGCCCTCAATAACAGGTTGTTGAATTGAACTGACCTCATCAGAGGTATATGTAGTTGTGTGTCGCATTCTTAATAAAAGCATTTGCATGAAAATCTAAGTTTTCTAAGATTTCTTGCAAATTGATTTATTTTAAGATTTCTCCAAATCATTGGAGTATTTTTCTTTTAAATTTTTAGCACTTTTTTAAATTTTGAAAAATAATCACAAACTTACAGAAGAGTTAAAAATTCAATAAAAAGAACTTTTAATTTCCTGAGCCATTGGGGAGTAAATTGCTAAACTGATGCCATCGAGTACTCTTACGTATACTGCTTACAAATAAGAACCTTTTCTTAGGAAACTGCAATAAACCAAAAACAAACTCATTGCTGTCAAGTTGATTCTGACTCATAGTGACCCTATAGAACAGAGTAGAAATGCCCCAGAGGGTTTCCAAGGCTTTGGTGGCATAGTGCCTAAGGCACTTGGCTGCTAATCAGAAGGCTGGTGGTTCAAACCCATCGGCCACTCCTCGGAAGGAAGGTTGGGCAATCTATTTCTGTAGTGATACCACCTTGAAAACCCAAGGAGGGGTGCTATGAGTTGGGTCTGACTCGACAGCAAATAAGAACAACAACAAATCTTTATGGAAGCAGACTGCTACATGTTTCTCTCATGGAGTGCCTAGGACATTCAAAACGCCAACCTTTTGGTTACAAGCCAAGTACTTTAACTGTGCCACCAACGCTTCTTCTATAACCACAGTACAGTCATCAAAATCAGAAATTTAATGTGGATACATTACTGTCATTTAATCCTCTCACCTCTCCTAAGTTTCATGAGTTATTTCAATAATGTCTTATAGGAGCCAGTTCAGAATCATATGTTGCATTTAATTTTCATGTCTCTTTGGTTTCTATGAGTCTGGACACTTACTCATTCTTTCCTTGACTTTATTACCTTGACACTTTTGAAGATTTGGGGGCAGTTGTTTTGTAGAATGCCCTTCTAATGCCTTATATGTTGGTGTTGGTTAAATTTGAGTTAGTTAGTCAGATGTCTCATAAATTAGATTGAATTTATGCGTCTTTAGCAAGAACATCACATTATGATACTGTGTTCTCATTATAGTGTGTCAGGTAGCACGTAGCTTCTATCAGTGCCTTTACTGATATTGTTCATTTTGATCAAGATGATGTCTGCTAGATGTCTCTCTATAAAATTATTCTTTTTCACTTTGTAATTAATAAATATTGGGGGTAAAACTGTAAACATCCTGTTCCTTATTAAATAACCAATTCATTCATTGATTTATTTATATCCATGTGGAATCATGGTTTCCTGTTTTATTTGGTGTGTTATAATCTGTTACTATCATTATTTTGGTATACAAATTGTCCCATATTTAACCAATGGGAGCTCTTTCAAGCTGGTTTTCATATCCATCTGAAATGTCCCCAGTATTCTTTGAGCAGATCCTTGCTTTTTAGTACAACAAAATGTTCCAGGTTCATCTTGTGCTTTTTCTGCTCCAGCTTTGGAATGAACTATGTCTCTAAGAAATGCTAGTGCCTTTTATAGAGATGATGGGTATTTAGAAACCAAGATCTGTGTACTACATGTGCTCATCACTATCAGTACGTTGCTGCTCCCAGGCCATCTCAGTGGACTGAGCATACATACATGCTTATACATATATACATAATTTTCGTTCATATCTTTTTGGGCTATCCTACTTCCGTAGTGATACTGCTTTGGAAACCCAAGAAGGGGTCGCTATGAGTCGGGGCCAACTCGACGGCACATAACAACAACAACAACAACAATCTTTTTATATATCCATCTATATATATGGTAGAAACTATGAGTTTACAATAAAAACCCCAAATCCATCCAGCCCACAGATTTTTTTTTTTTTTTTTTTCCTCTAGATTATTTTGAGTTTTGTTCCAC